TTTTTGAAATTATAAATAGCCATCTGGGTATTTGATGTGTAAAACAAAAATGATTTTTTCCGCTCAAAACCATAGGGGATATGGCAAAAATGTTTTTTCTCCTACCGTCTCTTATTATTTCCTAAAACATGTCATCTTCAAAGATTATTCAATACCATGGCCCCACTTGGAAAGGGCGTGCTAATTTTTTCAGAAGACGAAATGTATCCTTGGTAGATCACGTACGCATTGAAAAACATCCGCACGCCCAACATTGAGTACTGTCCTTTTCAAGTTTCTGATGAAATCCGAGCCAAAATTCAAAAAATATTTTCCCTCAATGTATACCGTGTGCCATGCCGTGCATCACTGTGTACCACATGTTCAGGTCAGAGATTCAAAAATGCCGTTCTTAAAATGCAAACATCTGTAACATACAATTTTAACCGAACGACTTACTGTCTTCTAAAAATATTTTATTTTTGTATTCTCTTACTTTGAGATTACGGTATTAGGTATGTCTGAAATTATGATTCAGATTACTCACGCTCTTATTTCGACATTTTTCAGCATTTTGATTAGAAGGATCGGACCTAATCTCGTTTTGTGATCGCCGAAATCCCGCTTAATTTTGGAAAAGGAAAACAAAATTCTGGGAACGAAAGGGGTTTCCATTTTCTGGATTTCCACATTGCCTACCATTCTTTGGGAAAGACAATTAAATTTCTGTAAATTCAAGACGGAAACTTGTTGAGAAACTCAGAAAAAAATCAAAAAATTTCGAATTTTAGTCATCTTTCAGCCAAAAAATGACCGTGGATTCTGCAGAGCATGAGCTAAAAATCTCGCATTTATTAGGATAATATTAGTGTTAATTTGCGCCAAGTTTTATGAAAATCTGTGAGATTTTCATTTTTGATGACATGAGGATACCGTAGCCAAAATTTGGAAAATTTTCTAAACTGTTTTGCAACTATCAGGCCAATTATCTGCAGTTCAGCTGGTTCGACTTCTGCCTCGACGCACGCAACACACGTACCCAATCTTCGAGCCCTTAGGCCGTCGACTGTTTGCAACTGGACCTGCTCACATGATCCGCCCGCGAAATGCCAAACTCTCCCTTTGAAATCTCGCCTTTTTTGGCCGCAAAACGCAAGACCGAGGCCGGGAAAGTTCAGCAGAAAAAGGTGTTTTCGCTCGCTCACATGCCCGCTGGCACGGTAGGGTTTTGGCGGGTCACGCAACTGATTGTTTCCACAAAAAAGGCCGTGCCGAAACGTTTGCGGGCCAAGTCCGAAATCTTAATTAAAACCGAGCGGTGTAAAGGGTGAGGATTGGAAATTTCGTCGGTCCGATAATTGGCCTTTTTGGGACAAATTTGAGATTTTTTAAACGCAAATATTACGATTGATTTGCACTTATAGGCCTACAAAACTAAATAATTTTGCCAAAAATCCAGTTGAATTCTCGTTTTCGCCTCTCAAAAGAATGCAAATTAACCAGCTTCCCCATGCTTTATAGCCTGCCGACAAATAGAATGTTCCGTGGAAAGTTGTTGTATGCAAAAAAGTAGTGCGGTCCGAAGATCAAGAGCCTGGGAATGCTTATTTTGTCTCTGTGGAAACCTTGGGCTTATCTGATCGGGCCGGAATTATCTTTTGCGGCCGCCGATCTACGGAGGGGGGCACGCTGAATTTGGGGGTTTGGCGATGCAAATTAGGTGGGTGGATGGAATTTTGGAAGTAGTAGGTACATTATGGGATATTGTAATATTATGCAGTTGGGTTAAGAAGGTAAAATTTACAAGGGAAATTCTCGACAAGCGACTGCCAGATTTGCCATAGGGTTTGGCAAAAAAGTCTTTAATGCCCGCAAAATAATCGCTGAAAATTTTAGTTTTTGGTGAGATGGGGAAGCTGAGATATTCGACAAAAATTGCTGGCCTTTCCATTGTAAGCTAAAAGTTACGATATGCCCTCTAAATCAGCAAAAATCCCAAAGCTTGTCTCCAGACTTTCCTCCAAGTCCCTTTTGTCTCTAATCATCTCCAAAACCCCCCTCAAATAACCCCGTGTTATACCATATGGATCCGTATTGTATGGGCCTGCTTCTTGCACAGTATGAACTCATACCCACCGTTTCCAGGCCCGTAGTTTTTGCGAACGCCCTAAGGCGACAAAACGTGCACAACACGAATCCCTCCCCAAAATTGTATGCGCAATTGGCGGGATTGTACTCGCTGCGGCGTCTTTTATTCACTTTTTAAATATAGCACCCGAACCAAAGAACTGCAAGGCATCTTTTCCCCCAATTTGTAGTCCCCCTAATTGAAGCTTTTTGTTTCTCACACTTGAATCGAAATTTGAGGCGAAAAAAGCAAAGTTTCATCGCCGCGTTTTGTAGTCCCAACGCCGGACGAAAGCCGGGGTTTTGTGAGTTTTCCATTCTTCTTCGACCTGCTCATTAACGGACGCTCTGGTGCCGTAACCTAATTTCGGCGACAGTTGAAGTGCGCGCTTCGCCCTCAAGGCCAACGTTGCGACAGTTTCACTTTTTTGCGCTTATCGGATGCTAGAAAGTGATAGCCTGATGGATCCGTTGATTTTGGTTTCCAAAGCTTTTCGCGAGGAGATTTCGATTATTTTCGCTTTCTTTTAGGAATTAGGGTGGGTTTGGGAGATGGAGGTCATAAATGGTTTCATGATTTGCGTTTGTAGTCAATATCTCTTCGGTAGGTTATCTAGTATTATTAGAAACAGGATAAAGATTAAATTCCATAATTTGTGGGGTAATTCGGGCTACAATAAGTGTTCATTCCACTTGCTACTATTTAAAGCCGGTACTTGTTTGCAGGCCCTCCTTTTGAGAGATTGAAATTTTTGGTCTGCAGAATTCAAACATTGGCTTGCAGACTTCTAACAAGTTACAGCCTTGCTTATTTTACCCTTTTTCTAGCCACTTCTCTTACATCTTCTTTATTTTTATTCCATGAAAACTTTGATCATATTACCCTACGTCTGTCTGCTCCTAGACCCCTCTGACATCCCTATCGACGTCTGTTTTCACCCGCATATCTGTCTTTATTAATCAACAAGAAGTTTGGGCCCTAAACCCGTCCGCAATCTTCGAGAGATGGTGCGCGGAAATGACCCCCATCAACCCGCAGACCTTCAAGACTTGTAAAATGTTTCGATCAGTGAGGTTTATGGTCTCTGAAACTCATTTTTTATTGTTCCTCTAATTTTTCGAGGGTCGTAAATTGGAGGGTGGGAAAACTGTTGATTTTAGACAGCTAGAGGGAGATAAGATGGTTTTGTAAAGCACGTGGAGCAGATCATGAAGTTTGAGGGCTTAGCTTGGCATTGACAATAAATGAGATATTATAAGAGTGGGTTGAAAATTTGAAAGCGATTCGACTGATATATAGAGCTACAAATTAAAAAAAATTACCTTTAAAATCAATCATTTCTAATCATAGCGAAAATTTTGGACCGTTGGCTAGTCCAGCAGTCCTCTAGACCCTTTCCAAATCCTCAATATTTCTTAACACTGTCCTCTCAACTCCTCAAACCACCTTTTGCCGCAGTCTTCAAACGATAATTTATCTAGATCAAGACATAATAGCGCTATTCAACTAACCCAATCGCGCGTTAAATCCTCGCTAATTAGGAAAACAATGAGTGATGTAAGGGTGTCCTTGTGATATCTCCGACTTTCTGACGCAATAAAAACTTCGGCACGATTTGAGTTGACAGAGTTTCGGAGCAAGTTGTAAAAAAGACCGTATCACGGAGAGATGACATTTTGCGTGTTCGTATATAGGGCTTTTGTTGTCAGCGCTGTGTCGAGAGTATTGCCAGTTGTGTAATAAATCTTTAGAGGCAATTTGGTGTGGAGAAAAAGTCGTGGGAAAGTTGCAAAATCCTGATTTTGTGGCTCTACCGACATTACCGTCAACCTAAACCTAATAGCTAAAACAAGATTACGCGCGCTCTCTAATCCCCAATATCGCCACACTTTTCTCCATTTACCCAATTATGCAACATTATAATAGATCTGACCGTCGTTTCGATTGCACAATTAGTCCCGTGCCAAGGCCGCCAAACCTCCGCCCATTTCCGTTTATGTATTCGGAACCGGTATGACTCTAATCTCCGGGCGAAATCTGCGGTTTACAACGCACACACTCAACCTCAGTCGGCGTAGAGTCGAGGCTTATCGTTTTATCGTGGGCTACGGTATAATTGAAGTGTGTTGGAGGGTAATTAGGAGTTGATAGAGAAGAGTCAACAATAACTTTTACAGTTTGTGCCCATTTTTTTGGTCGCAGAGTTCGTGCCCGAAGCGCAAATTGCTGATTTTCTGGGAATTCTGAAGGCGCCTTGTTTCTAGTATACCTTGATCGCTGAGGATCTTGGCTCACTTTTTTGTAGGCCTAGATATTCAAACGAGATTTACAGACTTCGGGCTATGGCAATTAAGAGTTGGCCAGGAAAAATCATATTATATGGGCTTTTAGGCATTCTTTGGCCAAAAGATTTCAATTTTTCCTGTATAAAGGAAGCTAACCACGTGGCCAAAATGTTTTATTTTTTCGTTTTGTCCAGTTTATTGGAACTTTTACTTCGTACTTAAAAACGTCTTCTTCGAATACTTAATGATTATTTTTTTTGTATGCTTATAACTTCAAAATCAGTAGGTTATCCTCCAAACACCTACTTTACTATTATATCATCATCCTCTATTTAACGCTTCTCCAACCCTTTGACATCACTCCCTGCTACCGTAAGCCCTCATTCCAAATATTGCGTGTTCCGCGGATTTTCCAAACCTCGCTGACATTTCCCGAGCGCTCATAAACATGGGACTGTTTAGATTACATATCCACTTCGTCTACAATCCACTGGTTCTCGTACAATTCCATGACCCTGTAGTTACATTCCAAATAGGTCGAAGAATTCCAAGTTTCTTTTTTTTATTCCAATTTCGCTCAAAAAGACGCTAAACTTGTGGAGAACGGAATGGAGGTGCACCATCTGGCTCATCGTCACATGAATTATGGAAACCCCCATATTTTGGATGGGCTTTATGAGGACCCCAAATTGAGCATGGTAAACGGGGGACATGCGAACACCTCGCCAAACGAACTGCAAACCAATATCAAGACCGGTAAGGGTGATTAACGATTTGATTTTTTTGAGGGGAATTTGCTGCTAAATTTTTCTTTTTTTGTTTTTTCAAAATTTCTTAATTTGCAACAGTCGGATTTTCTTCAAATTTGTCAAGCAAAAGCCGCACTTCTCTTACAGAAAAATAAGCTTGCAATTTTTATTTTTGGGTAATTTTGCAAAGTTTGGGAAATGTTCAGCAATAATCAAAAAAGTTTCTTCAAACAAGCCGAAAATTCTGTAAGCATCCAGAAAGATTTTAATCTTCATTTGTGCCAGATTTTGTCAAAATCCAAGTGCCGCATTAAGACCTTTTTTAAGAGTCAATTTTCTTTGTTCAAATTCAAAATTTCTCTCAAATTCCCTCTCCATTTTTGTTTCATGTAAATCAACCTTCAGTTTCATAACGCCAACTAACTGCTTGTTTATGTTCTAGAACCGTCCTACTCTTCTTATGGCCAGCACTTTCCAGAGAGCGCCTCGCCCTCCACCTCTTCGCCAGTCCAACTTCACAACTATCCCGAGGCCTATGATACGAAGCCTTTATTGGCACCCCTTCCCCAATGCACCCTGCCCTCTCCCTCCTTGTCCAATCACATTCCTCCGACCTCATCGCCCAACTCATTGGACGGAAAAGGGAGCAAATCGCATGATCGGAAACGACCCTATCCATGCTCCATGTGCTCGAGTCGGTTCGGTTCGAAGATGGAGCTGGAAGAGCACCAAAACAGCCATACCGGGCAGAAACCGTTCGAATGCGACGTGTGCCAGAGCCGATTCAACAGACGCTCCACACTTTGGAACCACAAAAGGATCCATTCGGACGCAAAGCCCTTCTCTTGCACTGTCTGTCATATGACTTTTAAATGGAAGAACTCCCTGAAATGTCACAAGGAAATGCATTTGAGGAAGAACGAAACCAGTGCCGCCATGGATCATGACATCAAAATGTTGACCTACGCGACGGCGGCCAAAAAGAAGCTGGTAAGAAAGTCGATGGTAAATGACAGCTATTTTTGAACCTTTTCTTTTTTTCTTTTGTGAGAGGTGCTACAAGTGTCAGATTTGGCTACAATTTTGCATAGTGACTCCTACTAGAATATACATCAATTTTGAAAATTTTAGCAGTTGCTTTGTAAGCGTAGCCAATATTTTCAACTATTTTTGTGGACCTTAAACTATGCAAAATTCAGGATTACCACTCTTAGGATATTTACTTTCTTAGTAAGATTAAGATCCCAATAGAAACTTCACTATGATAGAGTAGATTTTCTAGGCTACAAAAAGATTGTTTCTCAACTACAATAGTCTGTATGCTTCTGTAATTATGTGGCTTTTTGTACTCTATCCTCAATTTCTCATTGTTTCTTCGCTGTAACGGTGACATTTGCAGGCCGAACAGCATGGTGGCACGTTCAATGCCCCCCTCCAAACCACCACCAATCCGAATGCGAAGAGAAGAAAGGGCCGAGGGGCCAAGAAGCCGTCCACTTCCCTATTACCGTCCGACCTTCTCCACCACAAAGACTCCAACATTTCGGTGGATTTGTTGAATCAAATGGACTCCAGCTTGTATCATAATCCCCCGGTCTCGGCGCAGAATCCGCTCGACTTTAATCTCCATTCTAATAACCTCATAATGCAGGCGATACAGCAACAACAGCAAAGAACCGATGAACAACAACATCATGAACAACAGTTCATGATGAATGGACATCAACAACAACAGGCACAGCACAATGATGTGATGGGACAACATCAGCATTCGCTGCAGGAGAATCAGGGCGCTCAGAATCTCTTCAATCCGCAGTTTTTGGACAATCAAAATGGCCAGCAATTGAGATTGCCGAATTTTTTGAATCCGATGAATGTTTTGGACTTCCAGCAGCAACTGGAGTTGGCTGCCAACAACGAGAGGGGTGGAAATCAACTGGTAAGCTTTTATTAAGGTTTTGGGGTACACGTTTGTCCAGTAAGGTTACTTTTATGTGATCTAGGGGCAAAAATTATATTATCCATGACAAATTTTGGCAATCTTGTCCCAAAAATCACATTTAATTTGTATTTTCACATTTGGATAAGAATTTCAAGACCTGCAAATTAAATTTCCCTCCTGATTTTGCATAACAATCAAGTCTTTCAAGCTTTTTTCCCACCAAAATGCTGTGTAATACCTCAAAATTTCCTCAAATTTTCCTGAACTCTTAACTAATTACCCGTTTTAGCCTCAGACCGGTTACATGAATGCAGTGGCCGCCGCGACCAGTAACTCGCAAACGGGTTTGGCCGATCAGCTCCAAAACCAGGTCCATCAGAACGCGCCCATTGTAAATAATCATCTGGATGGGGTCTTAAACTCGCCGCAGAACTTGTATCAACAACCGGTAAGATAACACAACAAATGTGGACTGTGATTAGACAAAGGCTTGAGGAAAAATACTTAAGATAATTTGGAGAAAATGTAATTTTGTAGAGAGAAAGACGCCTGATGTCAAGTACAATATAAAAAAGGTCCTAAATTTAGACCTAAATATCATCAATGCCGTTTTCGAACTTGTTAAATGCTATAGCAACCTGTTTTCGTCCAAAGGGCAACACTAAATTGTGTATGGTTTTAAAAAAATAGTTTTTGGCAAAAACTATTGCTACTCCAATCATCTGTAAAAACCCTGATAAGCTGACTTCTTTCCAGATCGATCCCAGCATCCTGCTGAATCAGCAGCAAATCCAGAATCCGGTCGACTACATGAACTGTGAATTCGCGTTGAACCCGAACCACATGTATCAGTTCCAATCGTACCATTTGGACCAAAATCAAACTAGTCAAGCGCAGAATGTCCCCAGCTCCATTCACTCGGACATAGTCCCACACCATCTCGAGGAATCGGTTCCCAACTTTGCCAATGAGGAATTCCAGAAGTTCGCGAAAATGCTGCCATTTGACAAGTGGTAGAGGCATAGTACTACTAGATTACAATGTGCTCTAGATCGTTTTAGTCTTTAAATTCCTTTTACAATACTTTTACCTAGCCTTTTCCCTACTTTTGTTGATTTTTTTACCGATTTTCTCGAGTTCACCTCAATTGTAATATAAAACAATGTCAAATCTTGTTTCTAAATAACTTTTACTACTGATCAAGCCGTATAATCTGTTTATTGTGCCATAACAAAGTCTAGTATTTTGTAAACACCCAACTTTTATCGTCTCCGTCCACAGTTTTGTCATCTTTTTCGAGGTTTTTATTATTTTTAGCTAGTCTAATGTACAGGGTGTTCCGAGAATTGTGGAAAAAACTATTCATTAATAACTTTGCGCTCGGTGGTCCAATCCGAAATTTTTTTGCTGCATTTTATAGAAAAGCCTTGGAGTTTTTCGAATCAAAAAATTTTTTTTTTCTTTTATCGGCGGAGACTTCCGTAATCCGCCTTGAATTCGGCGGAGTGTTTTTTCCAGAAATGAGGCTGTAGATCGATGTATGTGGAAAGAAAATGAGCGTAAAAAGATCCAGAAGATGCAATATGAGATTTATTTCAAATTTTCGTGATTTGGCGGAGACATTTTTTTACTTCGGCGGACGATTTTTCTTCGACTTCGGAGAGTCAAAATTGGCTAAAACAAAAACGTATGGTTTCCTAGGTGGCATGGCGCTTAAATAAGACTTATTACGTCCTCGGCTGACTGGCAGATGAAAAAACGGAAATTCGGCGGAGAAATCGGCGTAGAAAAAATGAACCCATTTAAGAAATTATGATGAGAAAACTAAAATTCTAGGTCTTATACGGCCCTGATCAACCAAAAAACATGATTCTTCTTATTCGCGGATGCTCGGCGGATAATTTTCATAATTACATAAATGCGTTAATTTTTTTCTCCGCCGATTTCTCCGCCAAATTGCCTTTTTTTTCATCTGCCAGTCAGCCGAGGACGTAATAAGTCTTATTTAAGCGCCATGCCACCAAGGAAACCATACGTTTTTGTTTTAGCCAATTTTGACTCTCCGAAGTCGAAGAAAAATCGTCCGCCGAAGTAAAAAAATGTCTCCGCCAAATCACGAAAACTTGAAATAAATCTCATATTGCATCCTCTGGATCTTTTTCCGCTCATTTTCTTTCCACATACATCGATCTACAGCCTCATTTCTGGAAAAAACACTCCGCCGAATTCAAGGCGGATTACGGAAGTCTCCGCCGATAAAAGAAAAAAAATTTTTTTTTGATTCGAAAAACTCCAAGGCTTTTCTATAAAATGCAACAAAAAATTTTCGGATTGGACCACCGAGCGCAAAGTTATTAATGAATAGTTTTTTCCACAATTCTCGGAACACCCTGTACTTTCCTTTCAATTTTCTATCATTTCCAATGTTCGTACAGTGTGATGTCGTCTCTTGATCACAAACTCAAATGATCTGAAGATTCTTTATCTTCCCTTTTGTTATTTTAATCTCCTCAAGTCCTGATATATCATGTTTTTTTTAATTTCTTCCATATTTTATACCCTTATTGTTATGTATCCCTGTGGTTTTCTAGCATTCTAAGCTCAGATTTTAATGGAAAATAGAATATCGAATCACTGTTGATATTTCCTTGGAGTAATTGTTATCTTACGGTTTCTAATCGCATAATAAAGTTTTCGTCTCTCTATGATATTCAATTTGATGGGGACTAATTTGTGTTATAACCCTCCAGTATCGGCGCAGAATCCGCTCAATTTTAATCTCCATTCCAAGAGCCTCATAACGCAAGCGATTCAGCAGCTACAGCAAAGAACTGAAAAACAACAATATCATGGACAACAGTTCATTTTAAAGTCATCAGCACTAGCAAGAGTAACGTAATAACTCGGTAGCAGTGCATGCATGTTAAAGGGGAAACAAGTGTCAAAGCCTCCGATGGCTGCCAACTGCAATTCAGACATGTTGTTGCAACTAAATTTTCTATCAAGTTCAAAGTTTGCACAAGAGATCTTATGTACATATATAGTCATTTTTTTCCTTGTGTTATCATCTCTTCCATTTTATCATGGCAGATGATTTGAATTTTTATCTCTGGGACTGTCGTTTCTGTCTCTCCTCATTTCCCATGGTCTCTTGTTTGCAGTGACCTCTAAAATAACTTTATTATTGCCCGTTCACGGCATCCCTGCTTCTCCAAATGTATCAAATTCCAGATGATTCTGTTATGGCACCACGCTTCCTTGCTATATTCAGCGCCAGTTTGTGGCTCCCAAAAAAAGATTTCTAATCAAATTCCTGAAGTGCCAAGGAAGTCGGCCGGAGAAGACGTGTCCATTGCCTGAGGCTACAAAAACTTTGTTGCATTCTGTTCCGAGAAAAATGCAAATTCCGGCTTAAAGATTACGAACGAAGACACGTGAAACTTTTCACGTCTTCTGGGAAGTGCCTTGCAAATTATGAATTTTTTTGTTATGTTTTTTTATTCTTCAGACCATTTGAATCAACCATTTACATAATCAAGAATTTAAGGGAGCAGAAGGTCACAAGTGAGAGAAAAAAGATTTGAGGGAAAAGCGAGGATCAGGGGGTTGAGAAAGGAAACAAAGTTATTCAAAGGGTTAGCTAAAACTGGCCTTAATTTACTAATTTTCTAGCAAGTTCATTGTCACAATTTACTGCAAGCTTTGCATGTTATAGGCCACAATTAATCCTGAAATTAGGCCTTGTGATTGCTACGAAGCTGGACTGTATTTTTTACCTAGACACTGCACAAAACATTAGTAATTGAATCTGAAAATAAACCTTCTAAACCATTAGATTCCCGGAGCCACAGAAATCGCCGGGGTCATTTTCTGAATTTAGGCTTTTGTTTATTTCAAACACTTGCAGCTTGCCTCGTATTTTACCAATCTTCCCTGTTGAATGCCCTCTCAATTCTTTATAATTCTCTCTGCACCCTTTCTGTAAGTATAATTCTTCCGTTCAATCTATTACATAAAAATGCAAACCCCAACGAAAAGTTTAGTTCAACAAACTCTGAACTGCTGGATTATGCACCCGCACAGAAGCGTGAACTCTTTTTATGTAAACCATAATATGATAATTCGCATTAAACAATGAAATTTGACATTTCATCCGTGCATTCGATTATTCTGTTGTTATGGCTATCGAATATTGGGAAGAGATAAAAAATTTTATGCATATTTTTGCAAAATATTTTATTTTTCGTTCACTACGTAACAAGTCTTTTTATTTTATTGTAAAATACGGCACTTGTTTTGCTGAAAAAAACTAAAAATTATTTAAATATCCAAGCGTTTTGAATAATGTTCGTCACAAAAATTTGAATGTCCAGTAATTGCCCGTGAATAAGCGGGAAAATTAGAGTAGGTGTAAAAAAATGTATCGTCTGATTGTAATTAGATCAGTTGTGATGAATATGTGACATAATATATCTTTCGTGAAAAAATATGTCTTGAATATATCTTCGAGGGTGGAGAAAATTAAAAAAGTAACATCAATCATCACTTCTTTCATGAAACTGTGGCCTGTCAATGGAAGATATATTGGAATGTCGGACAATTTCAAGCAGGTTTTTTATAGATTGTCGGGCTCAACTCAAGGGAGGAAGCAGACAAATAATGAGCATGTTTGTCGGTTAAACACGTCATATATTTTTATAGGTTTAAAGTGCGTCAAATGGATTTTTGCATGGCCCAAGTAGAACCTAACGGTTGTAGGGAAAGATATTACTCGTCCGGTTCCTAATGTTACTGGAATAAATTCAGGAAAGCGAAAACGTTTTGGGCAAAGTTACGTTCTAATTTAGCGCTTTATCCTGATTTTAAAGATGGTTGAATCTCTCGACTTCCGCTGCAAATCACAAGCTAGATTTTTATTGATTTACTTGTGGCTAATTTACAAACTTTTCTGTCGCTCAACACATACAGTTCGGACAATTTTGTCGCTGACGTCTCGCGCAAAAATTGGAGTTCAAGACTTCGAAAATTCTGGGCCGCTGATAGGTGTCCAAGAAATGAAAAAAAAACTAAAATTAATACTTTCATCGAGTGACCTTAAGAAAATGTGCATGTGCAAATCGCAGCGATAGCCCCGGAAATCAGAGAAAAAAGCGTAGTACAAATTCTACCGACTTTATGTTCACATTGTACGCAAAATCTAGGAGAATCTGAGTGCTCCACTTGATATACTCCCATTGCTTTTTCATAATATATGCTGATCATCTCGGTGCATGATTTTCGATAAAAGCACGTCCTATTCGTACTTCCATTTTGTATCGCTGAGTTCTGAACCTACCAGTTTGCATGAAATGCATTCACCGTGAAATTTGCCATTTTCCGATCGTTTACTTTCATAGTTTATAATTTTTTTTATTTCCGTCGCCTACGTAACATTCTGTTTTTGGAATCCCTACTCAACATTATTATTAGCATACAACTTGTCTTCCACGGGATTTTCCTGTAATGATTGCGAAAAAAGGTTAAAATTAGCTTTGTTTGGTTAGCCCCAGAAATCATTGCATGTAGACGCGCAATATATATAAATAATGAGCAGTAAATAGGATTTTGTAATAGTTGTAGGATCGTAGACTAATATTTAATCGCTCATTGGCTATTCCCTTGTATTTTTTGTATTTTGGACAGTAAATCAGCGTGCAAAGGAGTGCACGAGATTTTTTATTTTGACTACTAGTTAAAAATTAGACATTTACGACGATAAAGAAGTAATTTCAGACGGTGATTTGAATAGAACACGCAAGAATTTACGTTTTCAAGCTGTTTGGACTATTACAAACTACGAATTTCAGGAATTCTTTTGAATTTTCGCGTGAAATACGTAATAAAATTTGGTTTTTTCTAATATTATTTATAATAAATGAGCCAACAGAGGTGGCACTTGAAGTGCACGGCCCAGACTTTAATAAAACGTTTAATAAAACATAAATTAGCTTTTTTAAAGACTAGTAATATCTTCATAA